TGTTTATAGGAAGAAAATTTATATATATATAATTTATATATATATATATATATATATATATATATATATATATATATATATATATATATATATATATATATATATATATATATATATATATTGAGTGTGTATGTTTATGTGTGCATCTTTTTTCAAGTTTTATTTCAATTTCTTTTGTTTTGTTATTATTTTTATTGTTAAAAATGGTAACGTTCTTGAACAATTCAAAAATATTTTTTGGATTGATTGTAGTAACTTTAAGCATTTTTTTTTTTGTATACTACATGTTTCCTTTTTATGAAAAATTCTGTACAGATAAACCAACGTCGCCTACTAAAAATTTGGGATTTCCAAGCTTTTCAAAAGAAATCAAACGTCAGTTTGACGAGTTCGCTAAAAATAAAGTTGGCTCAAAGCACCCGGATCTTATCGCCTACCTCAAAACTTTAATCCGAGCACCAAATGATAACAAACTGAAAAAGTGGAATTTTATGATAAAAACTCCGCAAGCTGAAGAAATAGATAACATTTTAAAAAAAGTTGTTTCAACTTTACGAATATTTCAAATTTTAAATCATGATTAAATAAATTTAAAATTTATTCAAGAGAAATGGATTTTTTGTCGAAGCAGGAGGTTTTGATGGCGAGACAGCATCCAACACGTTGTTTCTCGAGGTGGAACGAAATTGGACTGGATTGCTCATTGAACCTGATCCTTACTTTTACACCCAACTGGTTGGAAAAAACAGAAATGTCTGGTCTATTAATGCCTGTATAAGTCCGCTAAATTATTCTTCAAAGGTGAAAGTAGATTTTTATAATTTATTCTTTAAGCAGCGTTTTTGAATTATTAAATTTTTATAAATTGTATTGCATGATAACATGAAATCGAGATTAATTTAACCGAGTAATATGTAAATGTAAAACAACGGTATCAAAAATATTATTTGATTCCCTTATTAAAGTTAACATTAATTGATACCGTTAAATTGATTTCCTGTGCTAGATTGTCTTTTTTTGCTTTGTAACAAATAAGCAAACGCTTTCAAACTACTTGGCCATCTTGCGGTGCATAGCATAGCTGATAATTAAATGAATTGGTTAATAAAATTAATAAAAACTGGCTGCCTCCAAATGACCCCCATAGAACACCTTTACTAAAAAACCGAGGTCCTACCAGTCCTACTACACTTAACCATTCTTTGATGAACCCAAACGTCTGTTTACTATCGCATTCTCGTTTCCACTTTTTAACTCCCATCAAACACTGTTACGTTAAAAAAATTTTTGTTCTTTGGTCTTTTCTTTAGAACTTTCTACATTCAACATTCAAAGCCTGTTTATCCAAATTAGAAGTGAACATGAAAACGTGAATTGTTAAAATCTATTTTTCTGGATTAGAAACGTATGGAAATAGGGAATCAGTGTTCGTGATTTAAAAATGATGAATGGGAAAAGAAAAATGGGAAAATTTTTGGTCTAACCTACCCACTACTATTAACCCTCTTTCATCTGTAACAATATCGAAGGGTCTCATCCACGCAGAATTGCCAGAACTGCTCTAGCTCAACTTCCATGTGGTTAGTCCATACATCTCAACAGCTACTCTACTTCAGCCAAATAAATAATTTAAAACTAAGGGTTCTTTTGGCACTACATTAGCGCTGCTACGTTTTTAGTAGTCGTAGCGGTAGCGTCGCTACATTCGTTGAGCAGTAGCAATACTGCTGATAAAGCTAAAATAAAATCACGACCGCTACCGCTACTTTTGTGTCAACAATTTTTTCTCATTAGATAGTGCGTAATCATTAATCCACCAGTTAAAAATATCTTGATTGAATGTCGTTGTTTTGCTTCCATATCTTTTATTGCTTTATTTTGGTTTTTTGTTATTTAATTGGTTTGTTCTTCATTGTACAGTAAAAGTCCTCTAGAGAGGACACCATTGGAGAATGTCCAAACTGTCCTCTCCTCTTAACTGTCCTCTCCTCAAGACTCAACATCAAAATCTTTTTTGATATACTACATAAAAAATTAAAATAAAACAACACGTTTTTAATTTTGTTATGAAAGAAAATCATTCATAGTTGTCTGTTTGCCAAAACATTTTGTTTTTAACAATTCAATTTCTAAAATATTTTCAATGTTCTCAGAAAATTGTAACAATTCTCTATTGCCCATATGTATCGAATAGGAAATTAGCTTCCTGACACATTGTAATGCCATCTTTGTAGAAACTTCTTGGACTGGAGCCTCTTCTTCCTCTTCATCATCTTGGACTTCAAATTGTTCATGATTTTCAGAACTTTGTGGGCTATGGATTGAGTCATCATTGTTATCCATAGTTACAAAATTCTCCCAAGTAACAGAACCCAAAAGGCTGGTTATGGTAGGATCAGCTTCAATCAGCTGCACATCTGTATCTATATTTTCTCCTATTCCAAAACCACACTTATGAAAAATTTTGTTTAAAGAACTCTAACCTTCACCATTGGTCCACTAACTGGCAGATTCTTTGACCGAGCTTCAGAAAACCATTCAAACAATTTAAAATTGATCTCTTCAAAATCCGTTTTTTGTCTTTTCAACGTTTTATTCTTACTCGGTACTCCCGCTTCCCACTGCCTTTTTACAGATTCTTTATTTTCACGAATATTTGCAATTTGAGTTTTTCCGCAACCAAATTCTTCAGCAATTTTTCGTATGCTAACTCCATCATTTCATTTTTTCACCACCAGCATTTTTTCCTCCAAGTTTAAAAATTTTTTTCGCAGAGTCGACTCCATTATTACACAACAGTTTATCAACACGGTTTTTTAAATAACCAAAGATTATCAAAGTTTCTTTAGCGCATTCCATAGAATAGAATAAATACAAATATTCAAATTAGATGGCGCATTTTATCAAATATTCCATGTGTTTTTGTTATAAATTGTCCGCTCTTTAAGACATAAAAGTCAATTTGTACTTAAAACCCTGTCCGTAGTTCGTTCCTTTAAAATGTCCGTTCTTTAGGGTCTATTTAACATGCAAAACGGTTCCGTGCCAAGCAATACTGTCCGTTACTCTTATCTGTCCGTTCTTTAGGGTCCCGCTCTAGAGGACTTTTACTGTATTCCGCAAAAATCTATGGTTTTAACTTTAGCATGCAGTTTTATTAAATTTAAATTTTAGCATGATGTTTTAATTCTAACACGTTGTTTTATTAAATTTTAGCTCTCAATTTTAATTTTGAAACGTGAATTTATTATGTGGTGTTACACGTGTAAAATTTCCATTTCTTGTATTTTTAATTCATTTCAATATTTTCCCTCCTGCCCCCTTCCGTTCCCCTTTTCTCAAGTTCTCCAAATTTTTGAATGCGATAACAAACTTTTTTTGGAAAAAAAACTAAAATTATGAATATGTCTATAGTAAAGAAAAAATAAAAAGCCAAAAGTTATACAATTTATTAAAAAAATAATAATAAATTACAATGATTACAATTTAAACAATTTGCTACATGTTAATAAATATACATACTGTGTGAATTTATAATAACCACGAGTGTGCATATGTATGTGTGTATTTGTGTTGACCACATGTTTGCGTATATTGTTATAACCGCGGAAATGATAGAATAGCGCTATATAATTTGTTATTTGAATGTTATTTATCTATGCTATATTTGTAATCTTTGGAAAGGTTGTAAGATTGTGTCTATGCTAAATCAAATTATAAATATGTCTGAGTAGTAATGGTAAAAGGGAGGAGTTGAGTGGTAACAGTTGAGGTAGTAGTTGAGGTGCGATGCGAAGTCATAAATGTGGTTTATGTAGTTATTTGGATTAATTTATTGTTTCTATTACTGCTGGTATTCAAATAAACGTTCAACTTAGTTTGAAGCAGTTGTGTTCATCTATCGGAAATTTTGAACCTACGGATAAACGAACTCTTGACTATCGTTGGAGATGTAGAGATTATTGAAGCAACAACACGGTGTTGGAGATGTAGAGATTATTGAAGCTATAACATCGGTGTTGGTAGTTACGAGGTCAAGAAGTTACAACAATATATTTTATATGAAATTTCGTTATAGCTTCATTGCTTGCACCTAGTCATCTTCTTTGTTAACGCAATTGCACACGGACACGTGTTGAGTTGCATAGATAACTGACATTTTGATCATAATCATTTTTTTAAATTTATGCATGTATATGTCGTTTTTCACATTATTCATTCTCAATTCACGAACAGTGATTCCCTATTTCCATAAATTTTCATTCCAGAAAATTTGCTTTTACCAATTTTCGTTCCCACGCTCACCTCTAATTCGGTCAAATAGACTTTAAATGTTGAAAACTGTCATTTTCAGTTTAAAAATTTTTTTATAAAAAATATTAATAATAACAAGTTTTGTCATGTTATTGCAACTATTTTAGACAATTGATTTAATTTTAACCGCACTAACAATATAGTAGAAGATTTCAATCAAATGTAATAAGAGAAAAATATTTCAAAATGTATAATAGTTCAACAAGTAGTATTTATCGCTACTTTTTCATTTAAGTAACTGCAGAAGAGCTAAATTTTACATGAAGTAGCGGTAGTGATAGCGGGACTTATTTTTAAGAATAGCGTTAACAACCTGACAGAGCTTGACAAATGAAATTTTTGCTCTTCACCTTATCATACTACCCATCACCTTTTCAATTACCCTGCAAATCCTACCACTCTTAAAACTGCTGACCTCTGGGGTGACCCGGCGGCTGGGGCCTTATTCTTTAACATTTGAAGAAAACCCTTTTCAAATGAGCTACAACAAACAGTAACATAACTTTCCAGCTTTTATGAAACAAAACTTCAAATTTATACCTGACCGCATTTATCATTTGACGGCGTGATGGCCTAGTGTTTAAGGTCGTCGGGGGCTGTTTTGCGATGCATGCATTGGCCGGGTTCGAATTTGACAAAAGGATCTCCATGCTTCGTGTGTGATGCGTCATTCAGCACGTATTTATATACGCTGCTTATGTGTTGTTGATTTTTTGGGACCAAGAAAGAGTGTAATAGACTGTTAACTTTTTTTATAGTTCAAATTAATTTAAAAAAATTCAAGCTATCAAAACTTATAAAAAAAAAGATTTTTTAGCTTATTTTATTTGAACAGATAACTGTATTATTTTTTTGTAGCTTTATTTACAAGAAAGTTTTGGCCAACTTGGAAGATTACGGAGAAATAAAAGCGATGAATTTATAACTGAAGTTCCCTGTTTTCCGCTGGATTCATTGTTAATTGCATTAGAAAGAAAATCTGTTGACTTTTTAAGTCTAGATGTGGAAGGCGATGAAGTGCCAATTTTAAAATCGATAAACTTTAAAGATATAGACATCAAAACACTGGCCGTTGAATATAAGCATGGCAATCCTAAAGAATATCTCGAAGTGATGAAGAAAAATAATTACAATATGACTAGAGCTATAAAATATGAAAAACCTGAAATACATTTGTATGTCGAAGATTATATCTTTGTAAAAAATGAAAAATAAAAATTATTTTTAATCCTTTCACAAATTTGATAATAATTATTAGTTTTTAAAGTACCGCAAATTATTATAAAATGTTATATAATATCAGGTTGGTGCAAAATTAATGTCAGTTTTCTACCATCCATTTTAAAATGCAATAAATTTGCTTTCATTTGAGATATTTAATCAAAATAAGAACCATTACAATCTATGCACATTTGCCAACGAGAAATTAAACTATTGATGCCTGTAACATAAAAATCAGGGGTTCTAGAGGCGACAAACTGTAAGAAGGCATTTTTTGTAGCTTCTTCGGTTTTGAAGCACTTTTCACGCAAAAAGTTGTTGAGGTGTTTGAAAAAGTGGAAGCTGACACCTCAAAACGCCGAATTTTCTGATTTTCGTTCAACTCATGTGGAACCCACTTGTCAAGTTTTTTGACTTTATCAATCTGTTTCAAATGACGAACTACAGTTGTGTGATCAACCTTGAGTTCATCGGCAACTTTTCGAGTAGTTTTAGCTGGGTTTACGTCAATAATTTTTTTCAGTTTGTCATCATCAATCCCGAATGGTCGCCCGCGACCCTCTTCATCTTGGAGGCTCATGTCACCAGTACGAAATTTTTTAAACCATCTTTTTGTGGTACGCTCAGAAGCACCGACGTCGCCCCATGCTTCCACAATATTACGAGTTGCCTCTGCCGCATTATGCCCGAGTTTAAACTCATGAAGCAAAATAATCCGAAAATCACCCTTAGACAACATTTTCAAATATCGCTCAAAATCAAAGACACTGAATAGTTGGACCAATTAATTAATAAAGGCTAAATAGAAGAATAAATAACCTTCAAAATGATATATAATGATCAATATATTCAATAAACTGTATTTAAAAATTCAGTGATGAAAAATTTATTAACATAAAACCGACATTATATTTGCACCAACCTAATATATTATATATAGTTCTAGATCAATAAAGGCAATAAATTTATATATTAAAATATTATTATTAGTTTTTGATTCAATTTTTGAAATTATTCTTATAAATTTTAATTTTATATATAATCTTCAACATCACAGATAAAACTTAATAAATAAATTAATAATAATAATAATAGATTACACATTTTATTATTTTATCAACTGCAAGTTCATATAATCTAGTGTTCAACTAATTCGCTGTGCATTTACTTTTTGTTTAAATCATTTCTAAAGCTGCATGTATCCATTTCTTAGAAATCCACTTCTAATTTTTGTCTCAAATTCATTATTTTTAGTAATGTTGTCAAAAGTCACTTCAACTCCGATTAGAGAAACGACGTGCAAAACACCATCATCACATTTACCAAATTTTTTTAAAATTTCTTGCTCTGGGATTTGCGTATAATTTTTTAAATTTATAGTCACCACTCTATCATAAGAATCTCGAATTAAATCATTATAAGGTACGCTTTTTTTCGAATCAATTAAAATCCAAACTGGCTCCAGACATTCGGTTGTAAAGTTTTTCAATGGTGGAGTGCAAACATTTAAATTGTTTAAATTTTTATTTTGATTCTTTCCATAAGGACAAGTTTGGCTGAGGTTTTTTCGAATATTTTCTGGAACTAGGGGATTTGAAAGAAAACTGTTTTCACGATATTCAAAAAACATATCAAATGATTTGACGTTTATCCAGTGTATTAAAGAACATTCATATGGGTTCTTTGCTCCACGGCAGTGAAACCTTAATTATGCAAAAATCCAATTTGTTTAATTTAAATAATTCACATTTTCAAACAAATGATTAAAAAAAATAATTCATAGTTTATCAAATGTATTAAAACAAACCTTGGGATAATTAATGTTCTGTTCAACATCTGAGCCAATGCAAACCCAGTTTTTAACGCATTCAATTCCTCGCGATCAGTTGTATAATTGACAGGCGGAAAACTGAAAAACGGATTGTTGTACAGTAAATATTTTCTATTTCTATCTGAATAATATCCACCTTTGTCCACAAACCATAATAAAATTTCTTTGAAACGATAAACTTTAGCTGCATGTGTTTTTATCCAATTGTTGTGCATTACTAAACAACCGGGACAGCCATTTGAACCATTTTTAGTAGGAAAATTCCGATCAACCTCTTCAAAATAACATTTGCCACATAAAATTCTGAAGTAAATATATCAAGAGATAAACTATTAGCTGTATACTTAAAAAATATCAATTTAAACTGCAATGCCTCAATTTATATAATAATTTTACAAAAATTTAAATGAATTAAAACACAAATACAACTTTGTTTTATCAAAAATGTCTATAGAGCTGATTTCTGGGTTTGATTTGTACTTAGATTGCATTACTTTGATTGCTAAGTTGAGAGATTCCTGGTCATCTATTGATCTTGATTTGTTTGCGACATCGCGCGTGAGCGTGTATAGCTCTATTGAAAAATTCGTAGGCTTTATGATTAAGAAGCCTGAGTTATAGGAAATGATGTCAGATTGAAATGCTACATTCTGAATTTTCATGGCTTTACTCTTGAAATAAATTTAATACAAATTAATTTTCCAACAAAAATATTTTAGGCAAAGATTGTCCATTGAAATACTTTTATCAAACACAAACATCTACATGTACATTTAACACTGTTAACATTTTATGCTATAAAATTCAATAGTTTTGCAATAAATTATTGCGCTCAAATGTATAACAGTAAAGTGTAATAACTTCGATATAAGGTATGGGGTTATCCAAGAACGTTACATCTACATCTGTGTGGAGAACGGAAAAATCAGCTTTTAATGCTTTTAAGATCATCTCAGTTCTGATATTCACCTTTTGTTGAAATTGTTTAGATCCAAAGTCTGCTGTGTTATTGGAACCGGATGTTTCAGTGAAATAAAAACACTGAACATTCATTTTTAAAAAATTTTTACAGGCAGTTTTTCCTATTCCCACAAAGAGGAAATTGATGATTTTAAATTTCTTGAAACTTGTTAAATAAAGATTTAAAGCCATGTCAAAAAAAGAATTGTCAGTCACAGCTAAAATAATAAATTTCAATTCGGTTTCGTTGCTAAATCTTTTTGGGACTGAAAAAAATGATTGCAAAAATTTTAAAATAATTTTTGTGTAAAAGAACTCAATTTTTATTAAAATTATTAAATTTTAAATTTATTAAACTTATGTACATGATTTTTCTACCTTTTGCATAATAAACTTAAATCCCATGTAAATTAATAAAACGAAATATTTAAAATTTAAAATAGTAAAAAATCATCAACTTTTAGGAAAATGTGCTTAACAACATTAATAACAACGTAATCATAAAATGTTCACTTGTCTTGGCATACATGGAAATGGCGTCAATGAACATTTTGTCACGCATTTCTTCCTTCATATTAGATAAATCATTATCGTTTATGAAATTGTTCAGTAGATAAATTCCTTTCGTAACATCTTTTACTTGGTGCAGAACGTCATACTTGATTTCAATGAAAATAGCACTGACGAATATTACAGATGCAAAAAATACAAACTTGAGACTGAATATATTTCGGTTGTATATCAACATATTTAAGAATTGTTATCATTAATTTAAAAAATTGTTTCTAAATTTGTTTTCTAGTTATACATATAGGATTCGGATATATACAAACAACTAAATCACTTTTATTCAATCAAACAAAACAAAAAAGCATGAATGATTCGGAGACCAAAAAAAGAAAACTAATTCTTGTGGGCTCGGCCACCGTGCAACTCAAAATAGCTTCTCAATGATAATACAACGAGAATAAATAATATATATATATATATATATATATATATATATATTTACAATATTCTATAAATTCTACCGAATGTTTGGCGTTAATATGTTTGTAGTTCGTTTTTTCAAAAATTGATGATAAAAAGAAGTATAAAAAGAGGTAAAAACCTGATCATGCATTGTTTCTATCGCAATATATTGCATATGATGACGATGTTACAATATCGATTAGACGGAGGTTAAAAGGATTGTAAAAGCCGATAAGCGATATTTCAAAAATTAAAATGGTGGAATGTTTAAAATCATTTGTAATGTTATTTTTTAAATTGTTTTAATATTTATTCAGTTTATATTATTTATATTTCATAAAGTTTGTTTTATGGCAAACGGTCAGCTTGAGTATTTCGATCGTATTTTTGTTGCGGACCTTTCCTTTTTTCGCATTCGCAAAAAGTTCGATACCCGGCCTTGCGTTTATCGTGATGTTGTCAGTAATACTGAGAGGGTTTTGTTGTGACGATTTAAATATCTGCTCAGTGCAGAAGTTGAGCCGTAATTTGATAGGATGTGTTTGTTCATTTGTTTTGCACCGCGAAGCAAACAGGATGCGTTAGTTGTTTTCCCCAATCTCAGTCTGTTGGCATCTATTGATAACGGTTAAATAAGGTATTTTATAATAAATTAAAATAAAACCTCTGCTTGTTTTACCGTCAATTTGGACCATCGTACTATCTCAGAGCTATCAATGTGTTTCTTTTATCGCTTTGATCAGTGTACCCCTGTCGTTGCAACAGCGAGAAGTGATTAAAATTGATTTCTTATTGTTGTTGTTTTAGAGCATTTATTGCCGGTTTTAATTCATCATTTTTTGGAATGAGGTAGTCAATTTTTCTGTAGGCGTTGTAAGATTCATTCCATAGTGATATTATTTCGGCAATAAGTTTAAAGGTATCTTCGGAGCTTTAATCTTAATAACTCGACGTGGTGTTTTAGCGATTTTATGTTGATGTCTCCAGTTTTCATTGGCAACACAATAGTTTCAGCGGTGTAACTGCTTATAGGCAGAGATACCTATTCTCTCACCGCTTCTGTTCCAGGCGATCCAAGATGTTTCTTATCCAGGTTAACGAGATATTGTAAGTTCGTAGTTCAAAGAAATGTTATTTGAAAAGGGACGAATCGTCTAAAGATTTCCAGCTTCCATTAAACCGTTGTATCCAGTCCGATAATTTTTTGCAACATAGACCCGAGCTTACCGCACAGTTCATCTTTTTCCTTGGTGTTCTTGCCTTTAAAATCATACCTTATTCCAAAGTATGTAAAACGATCGTTAATATTAACCTCTGGAATTGTTGCATCGTCTATTGTTAACTGAGACAAAACTAGTTTATTTTTTTCATCGAATTTTCGCATCTCAAATGTACAGCATTATTTTACTCTCAATTTCATACCCGTCCATTTATACCAGACTTAGTTAAGATCAATTAATTTCTGAGCAATCTCAAAAATGTTAGCGATGATTGCTGAGTCATCAGCAAACTGGGGCCAGCCTCTCAATTATAGTTAGGCTGTAGGTTCCTAAATATATCCAAATTGTTGATATTCTTTTGCTTCATGTATTTTTATCAGAGGGTTAAAACAAAGATTGATGAGCAGCGGAAAGCTTGGATCACTCTGTATGACCTCCCCTTTTAACTTGGATAGATGAAGTTAGTTCGTTGCACACCAATAAAGTTATCGAGTAGTCGGCGTATATTGATGGCTTGGGATATAATGATAACTTAAAACGGGTAAAATTAGATTGTGACTTACCTCCCAAAATGCATTTCGTAAACAATAATAAAAATAATAATAATACGCAAACATAATATAGTTACAATATTGGAAATAGAAAGTTTTTATAAATTGTAAGGCAGACATTTCCATATTCGACATTTTCACTAAATGCACCAACAACCTACTCTCATATTTTGCGTTAAACTCCTCTTAGCTAAAACCTAAAAGATGGAAAAACTAATTCACTAACCTCCCCATCAACTGTCACGTTTTCGATCACATAAAATCATGCAGCAGTCATATCGAAGCCATTTCTTCACATTTGAATCGTCTCAATCCTTGTTGTTGTTGTTTAAAACCCGCCAATCTCATTTATCACCATGATAAAAAATTTTTCGCTATTTTTCATTTTCTTTCTATAGCTAAATCAAAATTAGCAAACTTAGAGTTTTGTCATGCAGTTCTACAAGATCTGCTACAAGAGCATTGTAACAACAAACTTTGGGCTTAAGGGTTATCAACCGCACTCTTTGGGAAGAAAAGTCTTCTTTTCAACAGAATTGTCCTCTGTCTTCCCACCTTTATAAAATTCTTGTAAAAGACCTCCTTTCACATAATTTTCATTTTACATAAAAATATTTCTGCAAGCATCGTCTTATTGTTTTAACTACTTTGAAATACGCGTCTTGTGTTTTATACGAGTTTCGTACTGTTAAACTCGACGAAAAAAATTGGAACTTAAAAAACCAATGAAATGAAAATGAAAAAGTTAAACTCGGTTAATGCAAATTTATTTTTTTTACAAAAATATAATCTTCGACATACAAATGTATTTCAGGTCTTTCATATTTTATAGCTCTAGTCATATTGTAATTATTTTTTTCCATCACTTCGAGATATTCTTTAGGATTGCCATGCTTGTACTCAACGGCCAGCGTTTTGATGTCAATTTCGTCAAAGTTTATCGATTTTAAAATTGGCACTTCATCGCCTTCCACATCTAGACTTAAAAAGTCAACAGATTTTCTTTCTAATGCGAGTAACATTGATTCCAGCGGAAAACAGGGAACTTCAGTTATAAACTCAGTGCTTTTGTATTCATGTAATCTTCCAAGTTGTCCAAAACTTTCTTGTAAATAAAGCTATAACGAAATAAATATGTTATTTGAAAATGATTTGTTTCATTTTTTATTTTCAGTATTCTTATTAATATTTTTAATTAAATCAGACATTGAAAAACTCAATCTGCTATTATCTGCTTGTTCGACCACATAAACTTAAGTTTTAAAAACATTTTGAACACTTTCATTAATTTACAGTATCAAAAGATGAACAATATAATTACATAATCAATTAATTCATCATCAAGTAACCAATAATAAAATAATTAGATTATTATTTTTTACAAATGAAGAATGAGTAACTGTATTTATCTATTTTTTTAAGTTCCGCCTCGGTATGTTAAGCAAACGAAATTCCTAATTATTATACATAAAAAAATGTCAAATTAATACGTAATGGTTCTTTAGATTGAAAAATATGTGAGATGCTATGTTGAGCTTGAAAAAAGTTTGTAAAAAAAAATAATCTACGTCAATATTTCTAACAGGCACTTTTAACCACCGTATAAGTGTACTTACGTATAAACACTATTTTGTGGGTGACTGGTATCTGAGTTTCAGTCTCAGGCGTCTTGCGCCATTTTACACAAACTTATTTGCAATTAATAGTTAAAATTTATTTATATTCCATAAATAATCAATTTATTAAATTTTTTATTAAACAAGTACATCATACGAAACAAAATTGCCAAAACCAATCTCACTTTTGATGTATAATTGAAAGGACTTATACAGGCATTAATGGACCAGACATTTCTGTTTTTTCCAACCAGTTGTGTATAAAAGTAAGGATCAGGTTCAATGAGCAATCCTGTCCAGCCCCGTTCCACCTCGAGAAACAACGTGTTGGATGCTGTTTCGCCATCAAATCCTCCTGCTTCTACGAAAAACCCATTTTTCTAAAAAGTATATTAAAATTTATAAATATCGATCAAAAAATATCAAATCTTTATAATGTTAAAATAACTTTTTTTAAAATGTTATCTATTTCTTCAGCTTGCGGAGTTTTAACCATAAAATTCCACTTTTTCAGTTTATTGTCATTTGGAGGTCGTATTATGTTTTTGAGGTAGGCGATCAGATTCGGATTCTTGGAATTAACTTTGTTCTTGGTTAATTTGTCAAACTGATGTCTAATTTTTTTGGAAAAACTTGAAAATCCTAAGTTTTTAGCAACAGATGTTGATTCATCGACACAGATTTTTTCATAATATGAAGAAAAGTTGTATGAATAAATAGTTAAGCATAAAGTCACTACCACCAGCAAAAAACATGCATTTGAAGCCTTCAAAAATTTTACCATCATTCACCGATCCACCGTTAGAATAGAATTTTTTGAGTTTTTAGCCTCAAAACAAAATTAACGTCGTTATAAAACTTCAAAAATAAAATAGAGACAAGATTTTTTGAATTATATATTTTAAATGAAATGATAAAGAGTGCATTTTCTATATACATAAGTATATATATACATGTGTGTATATATATATATATATATATATATATATATATATATATATATATATATATATATATATTTATATATCAATGCAATATATATATATCTATTTTATTTATATATATATAAATGCAATGAATAATATATATATTTATATATATATATATATGTTGGTAATAGACCATAATTTTTACAATATTCTATAAATTCTACCGAATGTTTGGCGTTATTATGTTTGCAGTTCGTTTTTTCAATTTTTCTCACTAACGTTATTGGTGAACATTTAGTTTATTAAAATTCAAAATAAACTTATTTTCCGAATTCATGCTGCAAATAAGGCCATAAAGGATTCCGAATGAATCATCATCAGTGCTTTCTGCTGTTTATATAGGGAAATATTGACTTTGTCAAAATGAACTTAGATGGAGATTGACTTTGTCAAAATGAACTTAGATGGAAATTAGGTGTCAGGTTTCTTTATTGGCTATGTCGTTGTGCTGTGACATCACCAATGCGGGCCACATTCATACGCAGTGGGGAGATATTATAATATTGAGAGAACAACTGAAGAGTATGGTCAAAGCTATTAGTTTGTTTATTGATGGTTGGTTTTTTTCTATGCATATTATGCCTTTTGTTGTGGAATCTTGTATTGGACACACTCGAACAACTCTCTTAAGAAGACTCACAATGCATAGACAGAACGGTGCAATCAAGGACCACATGTTGAATGAGCATGGCTAAGATCTTACGCGTGCTACATTGGTAGCTGGGTAGCTGGTACTAAGATAATTGATTACGAACCACATCCAATAAGGCTGAAAATAAAAGAAGCCATACAAAGTGGGCATACAAAGAAGCCATACAAAGTGGGCATACAAAGAAGCCATACAGAGTGGGCATACAAATTTAATGAAATACACACACACACATATATATATATATATATATATATATATATATATATATATATATAATTTGGTATGAGATTCTCAGATAAACATGTACGGTTGAAGATTACACCCCATTTTGCAGTTGAAAGTATTTTAAATAAAATTTCAACAACACGAAGCTGTTTTGTTTCAACTTTATTAAACTGTGAAGTTTGGCTGACGGCCGTTTCGGCTAATGCCATCGTCGGAGCCTAGATTGTAAAACCAAATGAGGAGTTAATAATATAAATATAAGAAATAGAAAATAGAATATTAGATATTAAAATGAATAAATAAATGAATAACAAACTATATTTTAAAATAACTCATTATATTGTTG